TCCTCTATTAGGGTGGGGTTATATTGATCTTATGCTGAAAATGCATAAATTCTTTAAAAAACTTCCTCTCTCCTCTATATAAAGCATATAAACTAGATACATGGTTATGATGATCAATGTTGCCTCTTCTAAAATTGTGAAATTTGATGCCCAAGATTGAGGGGTTCTGTCAAGGGGGGGGGGGCTCTATTGATTATATATAGAGAAAATACATCACTTCTTTGAAAATCTTCTCTGCTCCAAGGTATTTAGCAGATAAACTAACTACATATTATGTATATAGTTATGATGAGCAAGGGCCCCTCTTCCAAAATTGTGGATATCTTGGCCCCTGGGAAAGAAGTTCTGGTGTTAGGGCAGGGCTCTATTGATTAAAGCTCATGGGAATTTAGATAAACTAAGTGTATGCCACTGCATGGTTATGATGATCAAAGATGACTCTTTCAAAATTTTGAAATTTGTGGCCCCAGGGTCAGGGGTTCATGTTTTGGGGGGGGGGTCTATTTATGCATTTTTTTTTCAAATCTTCTTCTCTGCTATTTAATCTAGTGAAAATGGGTTATTTTGTTGAAAATCTTCTCTGCTCCTGATCTAGGAGGCAAATAGAGTATATAAAGTTGTAATAAGTAAGGGTGTTTTTATCAGATTTTGAAATTCTGTACCCTTTGGTCAATTTATAATTTCTACTGAAAGAAGTTATCCCCCTATGCTATTCACCTACAATAGCTAATCACTGTAAATAATGTTACTTAAAAAAGGTCAATTTAATATCAGAATTAGACAAGAAATAAATTTTATAATGTTTAATACAAAAGTACTTTGATATTCATAGTTTTAATGGTCAAGTAAACTTTTAAATAGATAAATGAAAATGGACAAAAATACCATATCTTTTAACAATAAATAATCTTCCAAAACTAAGAAAGACCATTGTGAGGGGGAATGAAATTTTTCAACTAATAGTCCTCGAGAACTATTGTTTTGTTTAGTCCTCATTAGGATAGTGACAAATGGGGGAAAAGTACATGCAAATAAATAGATCAACTTTAAAATTTGTTATGTCATATTTGACCTTTAGTATGTGGTGTACAGAGGGCTCTTAAGCAAGTATCATTATCTCTCCATCTATTTTTTCATAGTTTCATGTATAATTACTACTTTTCCCTGTTTTCTTAAGAGATTATGATACTTAGTTTTTTGGTCTGTCTTCCCCTCCCTCTTTCTATGTTTGTCTTCAAAACCTTTAACCTTGTCCATAATTGTTGACTTGTTGGAGCTTGTTAGGGCTTTCATATTTGATATGTGTATTCCTTGTGAGAGGACCTTTCTTCAAGTACCATTATATCTGACCTTTTGACTTTGACCTATTTTTATAAAATTTTACCAAACTTTAAAATTGGCCATAACTTTAGAACAGTTGGTGCTCTTTAATATTTCATTCGCACTTGTGTAATACTTATGACAAGACATATTCCTTTGGGTACCACTTTTCTGACCTTATGACTTTGACCTGGCATTTGACCAACTTTTGAAAACTTTAACCATAACCATAAATTCTGTACAGTTGGTGAAAGGGCTTTCATATCCACAGGTATTTTTTCTTGTGACAACATCTTTCTCTGGGTACAGCACTTTTCACCTCTTAACCTTGGAGTTTGACAATGAGCCATCATATTGGGGCATCTGACAGTGTTTCATAAACATATGCTGTTACTAATTAGAGGTACATTAAAATAACAGAAAAGTTATTTAAATTGAAAATCTGCAGTTGAGCTAAACTTAAATTATGAAATTCTGCGAGGTTGTCAGATTCTTATCTCAGACTCATTTTCACATTTTATTTTTTTTTCTTATGATTTGGTGTCTTTATCAACTTATTGAAATTTAATTTTAACACACACATACAACCCATGTATTCTGGCCTCACGCTTTGCCCTGGGGATTAGCTTGTTATCTTATAAATACCCACCGATCTACTCCTATGTCATCTTGCACTGCAATGTACACATATATATATATATATATTTCCCTTAAAAGATTTACTATTTTAATGTTTCCCTACAGATGGATCACCATTACATCAAAAAACGTAAAAGAAAGCAAAAGGCTTTCTTTTATGGCTCCAGGAAAAAAACTGTTATTGTCAACAACAATGTATTACCTTCTCATCAGATATTAAAAGCAGATCCTACAGAGATTACAGAACCTTCTATTACTCAATCAACTTCCACCGAGGACCATATTGTCCACTTAACTGATGACCAAAACAATACAAGTATGCCAATTTTTTTCCTTAAACAACCAATAAATATCAATTTCATCCTTTGGAGTATAGGACAATCTAGAACTGCATTTTTCAATGTTGTCTCTCCCTCTCTCTCTCTATATATATGCAAATATTTTCCCTTATATAACACTATTTGAACAAGTATTTACATCTGTGTATAAACAGGTTCCTCATGTGACCATCAATTGATTGTTTTGTCATAAACGATCTACGTTATTTCAAATTGACTTCATAAGTTATTCACATGTTCAACACATTCAATTTATACTGTTGAGATTTGAACGAATTAAATAAATTTATTGGTTTTAAATTATAGTACCCAACTTTGTGTAATAAATGAATCACAAATTTAAATATATAAGTAAAAAGGTAACATTTTGAAATATGTATCGAGATGTAAATATAGGTTGGTACGTGATCATATCTACCATAAAGTCCTTTGGGCTTTGGGAGAGTTGCCTAATATAGTTTTGATATAAAAAACAAAAATGACAAGAAATAAGTCTCATATTTTTTTTTATAATTTAATTTCCACCAAAATAACCATAAAAACTGGGTAAACTTCATTTCTTGAAAACAGACAAATAACATTCCATGGTAATCTACAATAAGAATGTGCCTAAATATATGTTAACAACGTTAAAAAAGAACATACATAAATGAAAAATATCAGATGCATTCAAAAATTTTTGAATTAAAAGATCATAATGGAAGAGTTATCATTCTTTATTTCCCATGAGTTGAAATACCCTAGGTACCATTTCAGATATATGCTCATTTCTCAAACAATGGAAATACATGCATTTACTTTAAAGTGTGCAAAAGCAGCAATGTTTAAACTATTTTTTTTTAGTTTTTTCAAAAAAAATGTCCATAGTACAAATATTTTTTATAGTTCAGACTAGCAAATTTTTGTCATTTTTAAATAAAATGCCAACTTGAGAAAACTAAATGCATTAAAATAGCTGCAGATAGTTCTTTCAAATGGTGTACATACAAATTTTGACCAATTAATAAGCACGCAACCAAATCAAAACAATTAATGCTTCAAACGGAGTACATGTATGTCATAACATGGAGGTATCCCATACTACCTTAAAGTGACAGTACGGCGCATCTCATCAAAAAACTGACTAGATAAAATTTTCCGACAAGATTTGGAATTTTTTTACTACTCATAAATGTATAAGCTTTCAGAAAATTACAACTTTTACAATTAAATAATTTGGATTATTTCATTAAAATTAATAGTTATTTATGGGACGTAAATATATACATCGCAACGTGTTCGGGGTTCCACATTCCATGCTATGCACGCATGCGTAGTTTTCATAAACAAAACAGCATGGTTAGAGAGGGAATCCCGGTAGGCTCGGGTAGGCCTGCTACATTGACAAAGTCGACTAAAAATAAAAAGAAACTGAAAATAGAACTTGAAAAAGCAACTTTCCTGACTAAACTTTAGTTTGGGGATTAATATAATCGCTGGATAAGGAAGAAACGGGAACTCGGCGACACTCACGCAGGGCTCTCGAAGGTTCTATTCGACAGGTTTGTTGATACTTGTTATCATTTCTCATTTTTCCGTCGCTTTCAAAGAAAAACAATAGTGTAAACTCAACATAAAAAATACATCTTTGACTTATAAAAATTGTTGCCATTTGAAATGCTAACTTTTCTTAACTGTGCAGAAAAATATTTTGTTTGACATTTGCCGCGATCACGTATGCATGGTATGATTAGTTGGTTTTTCCTTCCTCGCCTGAATGCAGACTAAAATCTTTACGATTATTATTTTAGATTGTTTTATCAGAAAGTTATGATAATTTGTGTTTTTTTAAAATTGCTTTCACCTAATATTCATTACAACTGTAAACTCTACAGTGTAGGCACGTGCCGTTTTAGAATTCACGTGGTACAAATAAACAGATCTAAGATTGCTCCAGTTCGTACGACCCTTAATTTTCCGGCAGATTCTAATTACGTTAATTTTGTTTGAGTAGAGAATATTTCTGTTTCTCAAACTGCTTACATCAACTTTATACCTTATTTCTTAATGACATATTGGGTAAATTTGGATGAAAAAGCACACATTTTGCAGCCGAACTGTCGCTTTAAGGATACAAAACACAATCAAAAATTTGATGCATGGATTGATACATATTTTTTGACTGGTTTTGAATGGACATGACATAAATAATCAATCCCTAAAATATAAAGAAATCGTAAATTTTCTTTGGTGCTTAGATAAGCGATTTTATTTTGTTTTCTATATAATTCTATACAAAATTTTGCACATTTTTTGACATTGTGACAAAATCTAACCAAATTCTCTCACCTTACCTGTGGAAAATATCAATCAAGTTACCTATTTGAATATTAATATATGAGAAATATTGCCGATTTCTGAAAAAAGTTTGTTTGTGTTATTTATCCTTAAAGGCCACCTTCTTTTACATACTCACTAACAACATTTTATAGCAGTCGTCGAGTCTAAATGCTCTTAAAGGTATACTTTACATAATACATCACTACATTGCTAACAAGATAACCTATACATTTTTACCATGGCCTGGACTAGTGAATTATTCCATGTCAACAGATATAAAACATCTCATTAACAATCATCTTTGGAATTTCATTGAATAAACAATGAATTGCAGCTTACTTCAATTAATGTCTTATGTTTTACCAGCTTATCTATTTCTCCAAAATGGTTAATTTTTTCATCAGAATACAAGACAGGAAAAGAAAAACGATTGCAAAACTGGAGTCAACTCTTTCCAAAGTTGTTAATTTCAGCAACAGAAAAAATTCTGTTGTTGAACTGACTTGCAGTCAGTGCTATGAGTCAACCACAGATCTCTACAGATGCTTAGACTGCATTGGATCATGGGTGGTATGTGAAGGATGCCTTCATTCTAACCACTCACATCCACATTTACACGTGATTGAGAAATGGATGGTATGTACTTTAAATTGTCCAATAAACCAATAATTTTCTTTTACAATAATTTAATTCTGGTTGTAACATGCCATTAAATTCGATATAACAGAAATCTGTTAATATTGTTTAACCTGCCTTGCCTATGTCACAATGACTTACGTAGTAATTAATCCGCCTGACATTACATTTAAAAATTTGAACAATATAAGGGAATTTTAAAGGTACAAAAATTGTCTTAAATTTAACATTTAATGAAAGAGAATCAAATTATAAGGTATGAATTTAATAGCTACCCAAGTTATACTTGTATAAATTTTACACTTTCTTATAATCCTCTTCATCTAAACTGCCCCAACCAAGGTTATACAGTATGCCTACAGGGTAACCATGTCTAAATGATTATCACATATATTGTGGCCTCACCCTATCCTCAGAACTTTGATTTTAATTGATCAGAATTGAATCTGCACTATCTATCAATGATTGCATATTAATATTAAATTAGAGCAAGAGGCCCATCGGCCACATCCCTCGCCTAAGTATTTTGGCTAGGAGTTCAGTTTTTATGAGTGGTATCAACCTATTCCCAAGGGGAGGGAACATGATTTGAACGAACTTGAATTTACCATAACTGAAGATGCTACCATATTTCTTCGACAAATCATGGCGCTATAATATTTAAAAAGATTTTTTCCGTTAAGTTTTATCATCTTTTGTAGCCCCATCCTACACCCAGGGGGTCATAATTTGAACAAACTTTAATTAACACTACATATAAAGGATGCTTCCATATAAATATGACCAATCATAGCTTTGCTGTTCTTGAGAAGAAGATTTTTAAAGATTTTTCCTATGTAAATCTTTGATTGCCCATTGTAGTCCTACCCTACCCATGGGGGTCATTATTTGAACAAACTTGAATCTACACTACCTGAGGATGCTTCCATATAAATATGACCAATCATGGCTTTGCTGTTCCTTGAGAAGAAGATTTTTAAAGACTTTTCCTATGTATTCCTAAGTAAATCTTTGATCCTTCATTGTGCCCCCCCCCCCCAACCCTGGGGGTCATGATTTGAACAAATTTGAATCTACACTACCTGGAAATTTTCCCATATAAGTTTCATCTTTCCTGGCCCAGTGGTTGAAAAGAATTTTTATAAAAGATGCCATTAATTTTTCACTAAATTGTAAATATCTCCCCTTGAAAGAAGGTGTGTTCCTTCATTTGAACAAACTTTAAACCCGTCTACCTAAGGTTACTTTGTATAAGTTTGGTTGCAATTGGTCCAGTGATTCTTGAGAAGAAATCTGAAAATGTTAAAAGTTAACAGACAGACAGACGACGGACAAAATATGATCAGAAAAGCTCACTTGAGCTTTCAGCTCAGGTGAGCAAACTTTCCTTACATCTTACATGTTTCCTTTAAATACTGGCTATCCCATTCAACATATATTGACCCTTGGCTTTGCTGAGAACAAATTTGAATAAACACTGATACTTTTCTTTAAATATTTGACTCTGCGGTTTTTCAGACATGTTTTAAATAGGGAAGTCAAAATATTTATTTTCTTTAGTCGATTATTCGATTGCATTATTCGAACAATAGTCGTGAGATGTATTCCAAACTTTACTGGTACATGATGTATTTATAACTCAGAAACCCTTTTACTAAAATCTATCTAAAAGTAACATCAAAATTTATGCAATATAACATAGCATGATTATTTGAATTTAGAAACCTAATTCTCCAAAATGTATGATTTCCCCTGTCAATAAAATTCATAAATCAGTCTGTACATGCAGCCAGGTTTTATTTTAGAAAGCAAAGAAAAAAAATGCCAAGAGATAATTTTTAAAGCTTATTAGGAAATAAATTGGGGGAGGGGTTAATCTCACACTATCCACACGCCAAGTGCCTGTGAAATTGTTAGGTAGATACTGCTTATTGGATTGTTTGCTCTGGCTATCAAAATGTCCTTATACAATTTAAATAGTAAGCGAATTGTTTTAATAATCAATGAAGTGCCAAAACATATCACAAGATCCAGTCCAATTAATAATTTTACAAACAAGGCCTAATAAATTGGTGGGTAATTAATTACAAAAACAACACGGGCAGTTACTGATGAATAATTCTCACAGTACGCAGCAGTAGTGAAGCCCTTATTTTACTGTACTTTTTATACGTACATGGAAAATCAACCATTTTTTGGGGGGGGGGGGGGGGAATTATCTTATCGACTGTCTATGAGGAAAGATGGTTTCTCAAATTTAGTGACAAGAATTCCACTACCTTATCATTCTTTTATTGCATTTATTTAATTGTGATAATATTCCAATGTCATTTCGTTATTTGATCCTCAGTCCATTCAACTGATAGTCGAATAGTCGACTATTCGTTGATATCCCTAGTTTTAAATGATTTCTCCCTTTCCTCTCTATTTCTCAATAATTAACACTTACAGCAATTAAGACATATGGCTCTTCCATTACCTAAAGATACTTTTTATCTGTCCACCAGCTGGTTCTGAAGGAATCTGATAATACAAATCTTTGTAGATGACACATGAAAGTCAGGGAACTGTTGAGGCTCTTCTATCACAAAACTTGAATATAACCTTTTGTTCTGGTAGCTAAAAATATTAATGTTTCAATTTACCTTCAATATTGCAGATTTATTGTATATTTTTCAGAATGGTACATTTATTGGATATCAATGTGAGAAATCTGTCTGGTGCTCCATGAAACATAAACACTTTGCAAACAAATACATTAAAGACTTGGTTGTCATTGATGACAAAGGTAACATGTCATTTACATGCAGTTTGAAAGTTTTTAATAACAAGTTTTATAAATGAAACAAGTATTGTATTTACCACAATGCTCAAATTAATAACATTTATCTGCCTAACACACAGAATTTAGTAAAATCAACCCAAAATGATGCTTTAAAATTAAAAATGCAGAGGTTCAATTACTATAATCACTATATAATTTTAACTTATAATCAATACTTATTGACGATTGAACAGTCTTGACTAATAAAATGAATTTAATCCCATTGAAAGAGATAATTTATTAATTGTGATTATAATAAACAGAATATTTTTTTTCTTATACATCTATTAAAGGGACCATTAATTCTAATGCAATGATTTTCTACTGAATTTATTCATTTACTTCATCTACATTCTAGACAACCAATATTTCCAATTCACTCATCTTATAATTACACTGCATATGAAATAGAATTGTACATCACAGAGGGAGTCTGTAAGATTCCAGTTCTCCTCAAGAGCCTATTTCCCTTCAAATCAGGAAATAAGCATTTTCTAGGGGAACTAATCTCCCAGAATCCCTCAATAATATACTTAATTGTATATTATTTAATTTATTTGATTAGACAATTATTGTCTACAAACCGAACTCTTACAGGCCGACAACATCTTCGTACAATAGAGTTTTGTACCTGTGAGGAGGAACCAGTGACATTGATAGACTTTGATTTGTGGCCCTCTTCTCCAATGTATCCCAAAATAGCCTTTCACTTTGACCTTCTCAGATGGCTAAATGGATTAATGCTGGAAAGCCACGTATCTGCAAAGAGTTTTTGTGAAGCACTTACTGCAAGACTTCCTAAGCAACAAAAGAAGTACACATCTAAGGAGGTAAGGAGGATGACTATTCCTATGCCTTAAATTTGTGTCTTGAATATTTTCCTTCAAGAAACTTTAACTTAAAAAAAAGAGGTTAAAAGATCATTGCGACAATAAAAAAGGCACCATGATCCATATATGCTCCTGAGTAATCATGGCCATGCTCTTCAATGTACCCCAAGATGCTTGCATTAAGATACATGTATTTCTTCAATGATGGTCTTGCTGCCCTCTCTTAAGCTTGTACAAGGGGGCGTTGATTTGAAAAAAAATCCTTTCCACACTATATGGGGGTGCTTGCAAATTAACATAACATTGTAAGTCCTGCTTTCTTAAAATATTTTTTAACGATTTCCTATTCATTTAAACACTACATATTTCCTATGTTAAAATTGGACCCCCTGCTCTGGTCCCACCATGGACCCACGTACCAACAGTAAATATGCAATCTTCACATAATTTTGGATTTTGCTGGTACGGAATTTCTGCCATTTTTATCAATGGTCCTTTGTGGCCCTTTCATGATTATTTCCCATAAAAGATGTTCTGCTTCTTCTTTTGAACAAACTTCAATCCCTAATCAACCAAGCATGCTTTAAGCCTTTGTGGCAAGTTTTGCTGAAATTGGTCAAGTGGCTTTAGAAAACAATCTTAAAATATCAGTGTTTTACAAACATTACAAATCACCACCCTTCAATCTTAAAAAGCCTAGGCCAAGCTTAAAAAATCCTTTGATTGCAGTTGCCGTCTTGTAATTTTTAGAGTGGATTGTTTTGTTTTTTTTTAAATAGATTCAAATTTTAAGGTTTTTGTTGGAAAACAAATCATAGGGATTTTCACAGGGTTAGGGCTATTCCAGGAAAAATTGTATGGGGGGGTTGGAAGGCACTTTTATTTTTACCCCACCACCCATACATTTTTAATTACCTTCTACCCCACCCCCCATCAGTTTAAAAATGCTTTTGATACAACCACCCATCTAAATTTAAAAAAAAAAAATTGTATCACATATATATATATATATATATATATATATATATATATATATATATATATATATATATATATATATATATATATACAATAAAATTTTATGTACTTTTTTCAGGTATTGTAATTTATCTGACTTCGAATGAGTGTTGGGTTTTGACATCTATCCAACCAGGGCCCGTTTTACAAAAGAACTTACGACTAAGAAAAAAAATTATTATGCAAATAAATTTCTTTTTTGCATTACTTTAAAAATGTTTTAAATCTTTTTGAAAAAAAAAAGATAGTTTTATGCCAACAATTTTAACAGAAACATAAATTTTGTAAGATATTATGAACAACTAAAAATTAAAAAAAAATATATTGAATGAATTCTAAATCCCATCTAACAACTTAGACCATTGGTGCATACAAGTTCGACAAGTTAACACTTAATAGGTTAAGGACTGGTATGTTTTTGACATAATATATTTCATATTGTTTTCAAACTCATATCTCATCTTCCTTTTACTCTGTATGTGGTATAGAGTAAAATATTTGACTTGCAAACTCCATAGTCATGCTCTAAAACGTTCATTATCAGATACGTTTTTTTCTACTTTCGGTTTAAAATAAAACGATCTTTTTGATTGTTTCTAATATCATTTAATTTACTAATGTAATCAAGTTTGATTAAACTGGAGAAAAGAAACTGAACCAGGTAATCCAAAGCACAACGAATCCGTTTTCCAATCCCCCATTCATGGCATTGTCATTGCAGTCTCAGTTGCACATGCGTTTATAGTTATCTGCCCTTGTTTCCGTTTTGTTCGATTCTACTTTCACTTTCAATGTAAACACACTTTACAACTGTTTAGGACGAAAATATCGGTATTTACCGATTTATACAAAATGAGAGGAAAGAAGTACTTTGCACTTGATTATTTGTGAGGGTAAATACAACCACCCATCTAAAATTATATCGAGTGAGGACAACCACCCATACAAATTTAATTGCTACAGACCCACTACCCATACAAAAATATATGAAGTGCCGTCCAACCCTCCCATACATTTTTTCCTGGAATAGCCCTTACCAAATGTATATAAGCTCTATTTATGTCTTCTAATGCTTGTAGGCAAGCTCACCGCAGCTAGTTTTTGCTAATTTTGTACAAGTCAAATAAAACACTTTCATAGAGATGAATAATGTCATTTATTAAAATGACGGTATAAACATAAACAATTTAACACACAAGAGGGGGATCAGATTCACAAGATTTGGTTATCAGTTACGTAGAATATGATAATGTCTGATCCCCCAAAAATTACTAGAAAAAAGTACCTGTAAAACAAGACAATCAAAACATCATAAGAAAAAGTTAGCAAAAAGATGGCACATCAAAACAAAATAGGCCACAAGATGTGACATGCAAGTCACATCCATGCAAGATGTGACATGCAGACCACATCCGTGCCATCCAAGGTGAGCTTGCACACAATATTAAACAAAACATTATTTAGAACTGTTAACAATTCTATATGGAAGCAGTTAATCACTGGCCTATCCTTATATTGAAGTAAAGTAAATGAAATGAAAAATCTACCTATTATTGTTTTATCAACCAAAGTTTACACCAGAATGTAGTTAATATAAACTGAAAGAAGAATATGTACTAATACAATATCCACAATATCCAAAAAATGGCAATAAATATGGATAAGAAATATGTATGAAAGAAAATTAATTTCTTAGTAAATGAGATGACAAACACCAAGTATTGTTAAATGAGCCAGCAAGCAAACTAAGTCAGGAGAGGGGTATTTATAATAGCTAACAGCAGTTATTCACTGACCTGTCTTTACAAATAAATCATTGGGACCTACAACATGCGTAGTAATAGCTAAATGCTACATTGCGACATGTTACAACGAATTTAATGAATTATGTGCATTAAGGTACTTGTAGGAGTAGAACAAAACAGCAGTTAAACACTGACCTGAATTTGAACTACATTCTAGAATCTGATTATCCATTGGGAGTAGAACAAAACAGCAGTTAAACACTGACCTGCATTTGAACTACATTCTAGAATCTCACTATCCATTGGGAGTAGAACAAAACAGCAGTTAAACACTGTCCTGCATTTGAACTACATTCTAGAATCTGATTATCCATTGGGAGTAGAACAAAACAGCAGTTAAACACTGACTTGCATTTGAACTACATTCTAGAATCTGACTATCAATTGGGAATAGAACAAAACAGCAGTTAAACTCTGACCTGCATTTGAACTACATGTTATAATTTAATTATTCCTTGAAAGTAGAACAGAACAGCAGTCAAACACTGACCTGCATTTGAACTCCATTCTAGTATGTTAAGGATTATATGAACTTATGAAATTAAAGTGATTTTAAACTAATATATCTATGCAATACAATTGAGCTGCAGTGCCTTAAAATTCCGATACCGATTTCTGAATAATTTATCTGTGCATCATGATTGGCTGTCCCACAGTCTCTATACAAATATGCGCAAGATCCAGGCTTACAAATTACCTTGCTTTGAAAATTATAACTGTTATGCTAGTGACAGGGGGCTATCTATGAGTCGAGGGTATGCACATTACCGAACCTGCTCCTAACAATGGCAATTTGAAGCGCATATCCTAACTAAATATGATATGGGTGTTGTTCATCACTTAAAGCAAATTTGTTGCAATTCTTGTCATGACTAATGGTTGAGGTCTAGTAATTTTAGCAAACTTCAATTTCACAAATTCTACCTAGTGGTGGGTGGAAGTGCTCTTGAGTAGTACACTAGGTCAGTCATAATTCTACTTACTACAACCTTGAATTATGCAGATCTTTTCTCCATTTTACAACCTTAAACTGTAGCTTACAAATTATAATTCAAAGATTTGTATCAGAAATTCAACAAAATATTAAACACCCCCAATAATACTTGCAAAACAACTGTTTCTCTTCTGTAGAACCAAGAAGGTGGTGCACATAAATTTAACACATTCCATGAGATGCCTTTTTAATGGAGAAACCTACCATAGGTGTCTATTCCAGAAAGTATGAATAAGGTTTACCAGGTGAAGATAAGATTATTATGATCTTTAGCATTTCATGAATAGGACGTGAAAGACTGCAAATTCCTAGATTATTTTGAACTCTGTGCACAACACTTACAGGAAAGTTGAAAGTATCAAAATGGGGATAAGATAATAACTTTGCAAATTTGAGAGCAGGGAAATTGGCATTAAATTAAAACTGGATAACTTAAGAAGTTCAAAGGCCTATATATCATTATTAAAGGCATTATGAAAAGGTAGTTAATTGATGGGGTATAATAAACCTATACCAAGCCTACTTAAGCCATCAATAAAATATATTAACTTGCAAGATATATAACCCATGTAATATATGTAAGATTCCCTGGTTTACAGACAAATTTGTTTCCCATAGACGCTGCTTAACGATAAAGACACATTCTGTAATTTGCTTTACGAAAGGCACAATAGCCATGATTCTGCAATTTCCAAATCGTAACTTCTCAACCTTGATTCAAATGAAAATTATTTTTTACCTGACTGGGTAAACCTACGGTAACAGTAGTAGGTTGTGTACCTGTTAAAGGATATTTCCCCTCACATTAGTGTATAAAACTGAAGAAATCAAACCCTGTCATTTTATTTATTTACACTGGGATCTGTGGTAACCTATGAAATCAATTTAACATATATTTACCAGTTATGTTACGGACTAATTTGTGGTTTTATGGAGGGAGGACCATTGGAATCTGCCTATACATGATTTGCTTGCTGACTCACCTGCAAATGTTTTATAAGAAACCGACTTTGATGATCTAGCTGGTATGGATGATTTGTCAACAAAAAGTAGTGGGTATCCTGGTTATTCAGCTGACTTAGGGCCCACCTGTGCCAACACTGCTGCAGCTTAGCTGGCATATATATGGATCTTATACAGTTTGTTGAATAAAAGTTGTTGCTAAGTCAATATGTGTTAAGCAAGTTTTGTAGAAATTATGGCCTTGGGGTCATGCACATTAAATTCATGGCATCAGGCACAGCTTTATTTGGTTCTCCAGGCTATGGAGTGTATTCCTGCTCCCTCTAAACTGGAATTACTGGCATGCGATGAGGTTAATAAGGATGGCTGGACTTTCCTTAGGTTTTTGTTTTCTCACAGGTTGTTCAGAATATCTGCAATGTACTTCAAAATTAATTTTTTATCATTATCATCCAAGTATAAAGTGTCATTAAAAGAGGATGCCACCTTAAAACTGGGAAGCAAAAAAAAAAAAAAATATGTCTACATGAGTAACAATGCAAGAGCAAAAGAAAAGGAAACTTCCTACTAGGATGAACTTTTGAGCAGATATTTCACAACCATACATTTGTAATCTCTGATAAATGTTACATGTATGATAACTTAAATTGACTAAATTGGCAACAATCTGGCAATATGGCCAAAAGGAAAATTGAAGAAATATTGAGAACTTAGCAGTTAACTATTTACTCCATTCCAAAATAAAATGCCACATTTATATCATGAACCCACTACAGGGAACAATACTTTAGTTTGTATGAACAAGTGACACATCATAGATATCTCTTACTTAACAGGTATATAAACTCAAACATGAATAAAACTTTATAACTCTAAGGAAATAGGCATATATATATATACTAAGCCAGTAAACAATATAGATTACATAGACCCTTATGCACCTATATAAATTTTGTCCCAAAACAATGAACAACAATATAGGTAAATCTGACCCTTATGTACATAAAAACTCTAATCCACAAGAAAATGTGCTTCATAAGAACCCAAATGATTGTCGCTATGAACAATAAACAATAGATAACTGTGACTCATTGGTACCTATAAACTCCGTAACAAAACAATAAACAATATGTGTAACTCTGACCCATAGTATCATTAAACTCAGTACCAAAATATTAAACGGTTATGGGTAAATAAAACCATAAGTGCCAGTCAATCAGCTCTGTTATTAACAATATGGGTAACTCAGATTCATTGGTACAAAAACTCTATCATTCATAACAATAAACCACATGGATAACACTGACCCATAAGTACATGAGCTCAGTAACACTAGCCAATTCATACAAATAACTGTGCCAAAAGACAAATATGCTACATAAGACGCCATTTGATTGTCATTATGAGCAATTAACAACAAACAATAAGGGTAACTCTGACCCAACAATAAACAAATATGCTATGTAAGATGCCAATTGATTGTCATTATGAGCAATTAACAAAAAAAAAGAAAACAATATGGGTAACTCTGACCTAATAGGTACAAATCTACTGTGTACCAAAAACAACAAACAATATGGGTAACTCCGACCCATAAGGTACAATCTACTGTGTACCAACCCAACAAACAATATGGGTGACTCCGACCCAAAAGGTACAATCTACTGTGTACCAACCCAACAAACAATATGGGTAACTCCGACCTAAAAGGTACAATCTACTGTGTACCAACCCAACAAACAATATGGGTAACTCCGACCCATAAGGTACAATCTACTGTGTACCAACCCAACAAACAATATGGGTAACTCCAACCCAAAAGGTACAATCTACTGTGTACCAAAACAACAAACAAATATGGGTAACTCCGACCCAACAGGTACAAATCTATTGTGTACCAAAACAACAAACAATAGGGGTAACTCTGACCCAACAGGTACAAATCTACTGTGTACCAAAACAACAAACAATATGGGTAACTCCGACCCAACAGGTACAAATCTAATGTGTACCAACAACAAACAATATGGGTAACTCCGACCCAACGGGTACATATCTACCATGCACCAACACAATAAACATATCAACTTTGTACCAAAACAATAAACAACTTGAGTAACACCGACCCAATAAGTACATCTACATATACTTTGTACCAAATAAATAAATTTAAACAATGTAGAAAACTTCAAACAAATGTTACATGTATACAAACTCTGCACCAAACTGTGCAAACAATAATGGGCAATCCAAGCAAAAATACCACAGTATATCTGTACATATGAACCATGCATAAGCTTGAACCAAAACCCTTCAACTCATGAGAACACGATATTGTTATTAACATGATTAAAGTACACATTGGTCAACTAACCTACATTACCTATTATCATATGCCTTTGGGGGAAGGGAGGGAGGCAAGTGTCTAAATATTGCTGCTTGTTATACATGTTAAATGCAAAACTTGAAGCATGAAAATTATTATAGATAATTCTCCTTATATTCAACAGAACTGAATAACTTTTGCATAATAATGCTATCTTAAAAGCTTACACAATGGCTATATTTACCAGTTAACTTGATTTGAGTGAAGCAGTGCCTTTGTTTGCAATAAATGAAAGTGATAACTTATAGACATAAATACCATTAGGAAACCCAAAAAGGTTCATATGTAATATAATGCACCTATATTTAAGAGTGAACATGCCTTAGTCAATTAATTCAATGTGAACAGGACACTGGTGACGGCAAACTTCCTTATGCATGTGGTAAAGCAGCACATGTGTACGCCATCTGGACCTAGAGCGCCCAAGTCGTTGAGGTTCAGGATCACCCGCTGTGGCCCCAGATGTGAAATAGTCATGCTTGTAGCCGAACCTTGCAGGATGCTAAAGGCAAAGCAAGTTAACACAATTTCTTGCCGATCAAACTCTGTGTCCACTGATCATGCTGGTCGATAAAGAGATACAAATGTCTCCAAAAGTTTCGTTCAATCAGTAAAAAATACTCTGAGTGAAATCATTTCCAAATCTCGATCTGGAGGGAAACTTCATTTGGCGACGCAATAAAATAAAGCTCCGTGGAATATTAGCACTCTTCTAATGAATCTCTGTTCATAAGATCGCGTGGAGTGCACATAAACACAAAATGAATAAAGTTCATATCGTCAGAAAAATACTGATACACCAGATGCATCATATAGTAGGGCCTAATATCTATGTAAATAACCCGCGGACATGTACCACCGCACCATAGGCCAAGAAAACAATAATAAATAAAATCCACACAGCACAAACTGCTCTTCACAACACGTTGTTGTTTCCTATTCTTTTGAAAGAAATCCAAAGCACGTCTAGCTTAGTTAAACAATCATAGAAGTTGTAACATCTTCAAAATAAACGTGCCTCGTGTAAGCGGTGGTCAGCATGCGGGTATCAAAATACAACTGAATGCCTCGCTGTTTTGACCACGTGACCTTACACCATCATTGGCTAAAAGCTATTGATACATCAGCCAGGGCGTGGATCTAAGAATTTTCACAATTTACAAACATAAAATCCTACAAAAAAGCTCTAAATGAATTACCGCATTAAATACATAAATTCAATTATTATTCTAATAATTGTTGTTTTATTTTAAGCCACTGATTGATGAAAACAAAAATCAAAAGTAGAAAATGAAACAGATTGGGACTTTTAAAAAAGGTCATTTAAAAAAATGGCTTGTAGAAGTTTTGGTCAGGTGCATTTTAAGTGGATCAGTAGGCAATTTTAGGCCTTACTGAGTCTTCTGTTCAAGTGAGCTAATAAATCTATAAAAACCATATCTTGTATATGTAATTGCACTATATGCAATTAACAATTGTTTCAATTTTGAAAATGCAATAGGAAAAAGAAATCTACAAAGTTTTAATGGAAGAAACCATTCACCAGTTTCGCCACTTCTGTTATAAAATGGATTTCTGTGAACGGTTTGACGGGCTTGATGATGGTTGCAGTTGTCCTGCATGTTATCAGGTACATGGTTCTACAGTACACATACTTGATTGATCTATCATCCAACTGGTTATTATATTTTTTACTTATTAGAATATTGTTTAAATTAAAATTTTAAATTAAATTTCACCTTTTGTGTACAGACAGACACTCCATTTTACTATTTGGATGCAGATTTCCAGCTTGTTAGGAAAACCTCATCTGGGAAAAGCTGGCTCGATCCAAAGCATTCCGAAAACTTTTTTGTGCAGCAAGATAAAGTTGATGACTTTTTTTTCTTCTTATGAGGAAAAGACTGGATATACTAAAACCAAGGTGTGGAATGTTCATCAATCACTACTGCATCTTGAGTTACAGTTTTATTGATCTTTACTGGATACTGTGGAATCATTTTAATTCGTGGGGGTCAATGTTCGTGGGCAAGCAAAATATTACTTGTTCGTGGGGATGTAATTTCATGGGTTACTCGTTTAAATGGTAGATTCAATGAATTAATATCTTTACAAAATAAACGTTCGTGGGGATGTAATTCGTAGGTAAGGGTGACCCACGAAATCCACGAACATTGGTCCCCCACGAACAATGATGATTCCACAGTATATGAAATTCTCACTTGTAAGTCATTGCTATTACTGTTATGAATCTTAAATGCATAATGTAAACTGCAACCCCAAACTTACGCTTTCAACTTGTTCAGGACTAGTGGCTATAATGGTTTGACTCAAGAATCAAGATACAAATATATATATTGAATTCTAATGCTTACTGTAATAGTCATGATTTTAAATTGATTTTAATTATAACAACAATTTTCTTTCAGATGCCATTGAAAGTTATGAAATAACTTTCAATAATAAACTTGATTTAAAATAAAAATGTTTTATTTAAATATTAAACAGTTAAATAAATTTATAACAACTACCTCTAATTAAAGTCTAGAAATCTCTGGAGTTCTAAAATTACAGTTAAACTCTTAACCTTGAATAAATGAATAAGTAAGAATTGCCATTGGTTAATATTTTCCCACCAAAACCTTTAACCCCCTTTGTCCAGAGTGTCCAGATAATTACTATACCTAGGAGCAGTCAGTGTGTAATGTTGTATTTTTGATATTTGGAGTATTTTATAGACCACTGACAATATTAAATCCATAGCAAGACATATATATACACTGTATTAGAAATAGAGATGGATTCATACCCATAGTTAGAATCTGGTACTTAAGTATATAACCCATGTAATAAACATCACACTGATTTCAAAACCATCTTGTCTTGATTGCTGCTCCGCTATACTTACAAATAACTTCAATTCATAGTTTCCATATATTTGTAAAATTCTATACCCTTATATATATATATTCTACCATTTCACCTTGTATGGAGAATAAAATTGACTAAAAAAAATAATATACTATTCATCTGAAGTTTGCTTTTGTTTTTTTTTTTTATTATCAAAGTTTTCCCAAAGGATAATATTTCAAAAAAAGTTGATCATTGTCAGTGATATAATTATATGCTTTTAAAAATGTTTAGAACTACTCAAGTAATTCTTATAATGCTTATAAACAGCAAGTAAAGGTCAATCATGTGTTGCAGTAAATCATAAGTCATCTTTATCTTTAAAGTTAAAATTTTATCGACAACCAGTCTTTTTAATCTTACCTCTTCACATCTTGTGTACTATTATTAGGATTGCAGTAACTTCCAAGCAGGAGATAACTTACGATCTAAGAATAAAAATGCCAAGCTGTCTGAGAAGGCTGTTTTTGGGGCTACATGTCGCCATGATTTCCCTCAAAAATTTTTCAGCTTAAAACATGCAGAAAGGTATTTCTAAAATTAAAAAAAATATATTAAACAATCTTCTAACAATGATATGAAAAATTTCTACCTGCACTACCAGGTATACATTATTTAAGAAGATTATTTTTGTAATTTTCATTAGCTGAAAGTACGTCACATGATATTTATCCATTTATGTTATTGACCCAAAAGCATGTCCGCAGAAACTGATGTCGCATGACTCGATTTTTTGTCTGCATCAATGTGACGTTAAAATATAATAAGCATGTTTTTACCATCGTGACATAATGGCAGCCCAGGCTGTTCAGTTAGGACTGTGTCATTCTGTTAGAATATTCACTCTTAGTGATTATATGATACAGCTATAATGGACATCAGTGAAAAGTCGATCAATATGTGGTTATAAGGACCCATATCAAGTTATATTGACCTCAGACATGCAAAATGATAGCAACCTCCCAAGCTCGGTCTCTGTCACATTTTGTGTCTTCTGTCCATATCACTTCATATGGTTCCTTATAACTTAATTATAACCACATATTGACCGACACTGGAGTCCATAATTTTATAAGATATACATACATACATACATACATATATATATATATATATATATATATATATATAACTCATAAGCTTTCAGCTCAGGTGAGCCAAAACTTTTAAACCAGACACATTCACCAACAGACAGACAAACATGTGCAAGAAATATGCTGATCAGCAAACTTAAATGCAGCCTTAAATGCATTATTACCTAAATAACCTCTTTCTTTGTAGATTAGGATATGCTGTCTTCCTACTAGAAATGATTAAAGAAGAGCATTCAGGGAAAAAAGTCCATATTTCATACGATATTGCCTGTTTACTAAAGAAACATCTGGAGGTATATTTGCATTAAGTTAGCTACCCCCTTGTCTTAGCAAATAGCAAAATGTATACTTATTCCTTATATATGTTTTTAGTTAATATTCTTATATTATCAAATTTATTTTGTAAATTTTCCATGAAATAACTATACATGGATTCTTTCTGTGGAAGATCATGAAAAAGTGTTGATGATGCCAAGTTTTAATATGCCAGAAATTAGCTTTGATTCCTTCCCAAAAATGAAAATGTTACTAAAATACCTATTCCTTTTTCACAGAAAACAGGCAATATGGATTTGCTGCAAACTTTTACTTTCTGTGTTCCAATATTCCATTCCTATGGTCATACAGCTTCCTGTCAGGCAAGAAATAATCATACAGTTAAAAATGACCGAAGTTCTTTAAAATGACTTTAATTCTATTACATGGATTACACCAAATAAAAACTTATTTCATTCACGATTGATGCCAATTACTTGGTAAATACTTTTATGTTTTTATTTTAGTTTTCTTTTATTCAGATGATCATGAGTCCATGTCAAACTCCAGGGAATGGACTAACTGATGGAGAAGGGATAGCGAGACTTTGGTCATACTTGGGCCATTTCTCCTCTATTACAAAGGAGATGACTCCCGAAAACCGAACTGATCTCCTTACTGATGCATTAATACATTATGGTCAGAAGATTAGAGAAAAGCAAGGTACAAAACCAGGTCATGAGTGCATAGAATATACTATTGAAATTTCAGGTGTCAATGAAAATTTTGAACCTAGGCCCCAATGCTATCGAATCCTTTATGCAATAAAAATTCCTTATGTATTTTCAAAAATTCTAAAAACCTGTATTTTTAAGTGGAAAATTCAAATTAATTGTGATAGCCTATGCACATCTTTTGACATGTACAATTCTCTTATAAGCATATCAGTACTTATAATTGACTTAGGAACCCTCATTACACTGCACACTTAAAAGAGTTATAATTTAGTGGTATTTTTATGTAGTTAGAGTGATCTGCCTTAAGATCTAAAATAAAATAAATTGAAATCCACAGTTTATCAATCAATTCTTTTAAGCAATAGATTTTAACATTATGAAAGGCCTAGATAGATTAATTCAAAATTTATGCATGTTTTTATTGACTAAGTGTGCAGGGTATGGAGAAACCTTAAAGTAATATTTTTCTATATCGATCTCTCTTAAGCTTACCGACTAAGATTTTATATTCTAAACTAGACTTTTGCTCAAATTATAAGGCATCATGAGTTATACAATATGGTATTAGGAAAGAAACATAAAATGTTCTACCGTTTGGTTGTGTTTTTTGGAGAGGGTCATATCAAAATGTCCAAATTAAGCTTCCTGAGAATTGTAGATTCTAATGGCCTCCCGGGGTAGGGGAATGCCACAAAAGGGATTCAAAGTTTTACACTGAAATATAGTATATAGGAAATTATTTGTAAAAATCTTTTTCTCAAGAAGCACTGTGCCAGAAAAGCTGAAACTAACACGAATGTTTCCTGGGGTAGTGTAGATCCTAAATTGTTTAAATCCCCCCTCCCCCCCCCCCCCCCCCGGGTAGGTTGGGGTCACAAAAGGGAACAAAAACTTTACATTGAAATATACATGTATAGGAAAAATGTTTTAAAAATCTTCTCAAGAAGCACTGTGCCAGACATAAAGATTTCGTTGGGTAGTGTAGATTCAAAATTGTTCAAATTGTGACCCCCAAGGTAGGTCAGGGCCATAAAAGGGAATCAGTTTTACATTGAAATATATAGGAAAAATCTTTTTCTAATGAACCACTGGGCCGGAAATGCTGAAACCTACATGAAAGATTGCTGGGGTAGTGTAGATTCTAAATTGTTCAAATCATATGACCTCTGGGCTGTGGAGAGGGCTCAGGGAATCAAAGTGTTACAATGAAATACATAAGTAAAGTCTTTAAAAATCTTCTTCTCAAGAACTGCTTTAAACCAGAAAAGCTGAAACTAATGTGGAAGCTTCCATAGGTAGTGTAGATTGCAAATTGTTCAGTTGGTCCCCAAGGGTAAGGTGGGACAACAATATGGATTACATAGGGGAAAATCTATACAGAGCTATGATTAATTATATAAAGTGGAAGCATCCTCTGCTTGTGTTGATTCATTTTTGCCCACTTCATCCATAAACACGTCAAATGAAGGATTCAATTTAAATGTGTAAAAGATGATACTGAAAAGAGAATTTAAAAAACTGAACCTTTAAAATTCAAAAATATCTTTCACAGAGTGGAGCATGACCCTTGCCTTGTTCTCCTCTATTCCTTCACTCTGATTTATCCTGACAAATTGGTATATATAATTAGCAAGAAGTTATAGCAATATTCAATTCCAGCGATCTCAAAAAGTTCGCTTATAATGCCAAATTAAATCCAAGCTAAAAATTCTGTTTATACAGTATGACTTATCGTGATTATGGTTTTTTTTTTAAAGAAAAAGATTTTTACAATTTTTCTTTCTATAAATGCCAATGCTAAATCTCCAAAATTTATTTTGTATTCCTTTCTATCCATAATTTTCCAATTTTGAAAAGAGAAATCGGTCAGTTTTACCATATCAATCTTATTTATCTGCAT